ATTTTGAGACAGAGTTTCGCTCTTGTTACCCAGGCTGGAGTGCAATGGTGCGATCTCGGCTCACCGCAACCTCCGCCTCCTGGGTTCAGGCAATTCTCCTGCCTCAGCCTCCTGAGTAGCTGGGATTACAGGCACGCACCACCATGCCCAGCTAATTTTTTGTATTTTTAGTAGAGACGGGGTTTCACCATGTTGACCAGGATGGTCTCGATCTTTTTACCTCGTGCTCCACCTGCCTCGGCCTCCCAAAGTGCTGGGATTACAGGCTTGAGCCACCGCGCCCGGCCAATTTGCATTTTTCAAACAGCAAATCACTTTCACCTGGTTCACACCTCCAGCTTCAGGAGGTGTGTGCTGAAGCTTGCGCTGTGCCCTGACCGGCACACGGGCCCCTCAGAAGGTCCACGTGTGTTCTGGGAATACAGGCGGAAGGAAAGCACCCAGCATCCCGGTTCAGTGGCCAGCGGCCTCCTCTGACGCCTGTGTTTCCACATTCTCTGCTCAGCATCAAGCACAAGACGTGCATGCAAACCCAGCTTCACCTGTTCTGCAGAGGGTCGTGCTGGAGGAACCCCAGGCTGCTGGTGGTGTGCGGACCCCGGCCTTCCAGGGCTGCCCAGGGGTGAGCTGTGACTCCTGCTGGAAATGGCCCAGTACACTGGTGGGCCTTGGCCAAAGGGAGGGTACAGGGTTTTGGACACGGCCCTCAGTGGGGAATGGGAGGGTGTGGGGGGCTGCCCTGCACTGCATCCTGGAGGCTGAGCCAGGTGGTCTCTCTGTGAGCCGCTAGTGGGCCTGGTGGGCTTCACAGCATAGCCAGGGTTCCAGGAGCAAGGGCCCAGGCCTCGGATCTGGGCTGCAAGTGTGACCTGGCCATGAGGGGTGAGCCCTGCCCACCAAGCATTGCACGTAGGGCCTGACAGTGTCACTTTGACCTCTGGGGGCCGCCGAGGCCACACTGTTGGTGGTGCCAGTGGGGGCTGAGTTTGTGCCGGGGACACTGTGTGTCTATGCCTGGCCCACCTCTCAGACAGATGGGGACAGGGACTGAGACCACAGACATTTGGGCTCAGTGAAAAGAGCCAGGGAGAGGGGAGGCTTCAGCCCAGAGAACTCCTTGTGGCTGCTTCCTGGTCTCCAGGTGGGGAAACTGAGACCCAGAGAGGGGAAGTGCTTTACCCACAATCATGGGGCCACGGTGTGGAGCTGAGCCAGAGGCCTCCCTGTGACAATGTGGGGCTGCCTGGAAGCTGCGGGAGTCGGATTCCTCCCAGAGGGTCCCACAGTGGTGGGTGGGGGCTGCTCCCTCAGGGAAGGTGGACACAGAAGTCGTGAGAGCAGTCACTGGCCCCTCTC